ACACTCAGGCTGTTTCCACCTTTTGACTATTGTTAATACTGCTACAATGAACATTAGTGTATATGTTCTGCTCATGCTGCTAAATTCAGGACTCTTGAAAGGTAGGAGTGGAATTGCTGGAACATATGGGAATTCTGTGCTTAAGTGCTTGAGGAAACACCAAACTGTTTTCCACAGTGGCTATATGATTTTACACTCCTATCAGAAACGGAAAGAGCTTTGATGGCACAGTGCTTAAGGCATCTGACTGCTAACCACAAGGCTGGAAGTTCAAACCCACCAGCCACTCCTCGGAAGGACGATTGGGCAATCTACTTCCACAGAGATACCGCCTCAGAAAACCAAGATGGGTTCTAGCAATAGAAAAAGGTTCCATTTTCTACAAATCCTTTCCTACATTTCTAATTTTCCATTTTTACTTTTTATCTTAGACACCACATTGGGAGTTGAAGAGACATTCTCATTATGGTTTTGAGTTGCAGCTCTCTATCAAACTATTCATAGTCAAATGAGCAGAAAAATATTTTATGAAATAGCGTGTATTTTTCATTCTCTTCTGGTTCAGCTCAAAAACTTGTCGTTGTTGTTAGGTGCTGCTGAGTTGGCTCCGACTCATAGTGACCCTCTGTGTAAAAACAAAACAGTGGTCAGTCCTCTACTAGCCTCATAATCTTTCCTATACCTGAGCTCATTGTTGCAGCCACTGTGTCAATCCATCTCGTTGAGGGCTTTCCCTTTTTCACTGACCCTTCACTTTACCAAACATGACATCGTTCTCCAGGGAACGGTCCCTTCTGACAACATGACCAAAGTAGCTGAGACGAAGACTGGCCACTCTCCCTTCCAAGGAGCATTCCAGCTGTACTTCTTCCAGGGCAGATTTGTTAGTTCTCTGGCAGTCCATGGTACTTTCAGTATTCTTTGGCAACACCATAACTCAAAATCATCAAATTTTCTTCAGTCTTCCTTATTCCTTGTCCAGCTTCCACATGCATATAAGGCAATCGAAGATACCTTGGCTTGAGTTAGGCACACCCTAGTCTTCAAAGAGATATCTTTGCTCTTCAGCACCTGAAAGAGGTCTTTTTGAGTAGATTTGCCCAGTGCAGTATGTCTGATTTCTTGACTGCTGCTTCCATGGGTGTTCTTGTGGAAGCAAGTAATATGAAATCTTTGATAACTTCAATCTTTTCTACATTTATCATGATGCTCATTACTGGTCCAGTTGTGAGGATATTCACTTTATGTTGAGTGTAATCCATACTGTAGACTGTATTCTTTGATCTGCATCAGTAAATGCTTCAAATCATCTTCATTTTCAGCAAGCAAGGTTCTGCCATCTACAAATCACAGGTTATTAATGAGTCTTCCTCCAATCCTGATGCCATGTTCTTCTTCATATGGTCCATCTTCTTGGAATATTTGCTCAGCATACAGACCAAATTAAGTATGGTGAGAGTATACAACCCTGATGCACTCCCTTCCTGATTTTCAACCATGCAGTCCCCTTGTTCTATTTGAATGACAGCCTCCTGGTCTATTTATCAGTTCCTCGTGAGCACAATTAAGTGTTCTGGAGTTTCCATTCTTCTCAAAGGTAACCAAAATTTTGTTATGAATAACAAATTACAGTCAAATGCTAGTGCATATTAAATAAAACACAAGTAAACATTTTTATGGTATTCTTTGCTTTCAGCCAAAATCCATCTGACATCAGGAATAACGTCCCTCATTCTACATCCTCTTCTGAATCCAGCTTGCATTTCTGGAAGTTCCTTGTCAATATATTGTTGCAACTGTTTTTGAATTATCTTAAGATTTTACTTGTGTGCAATATTAATGATATTATTTGACAGTTTCCACATTCTGTAGGATCATGTTTTTTTGGAATGGGTACAAATAGGGATATGTTCCAGTCAACTGGCCAGGTAGCTGTCTTCCAAATTTCTTAGCATAGATGAGTGACTGCCTCCAGCATGGCATCCATTTGTTAAAACATCTCAATCGGTATTCCATCAATTTCTACAGCCTTTTTTTTTTTTTTTTTTTTTATCAATTCCTTCAGTGCAGCTTTGATTTCTTCCTTCAATACCATTAATTCTTGATCATATGCCACCCCCTGAAATAGATGAACATCTACCAATTCCTTTTGGTACAGTGACTATGTATTCTTTCCATCTTCTTTTGATGTTTTCTACATCATTCAAATTTTGTCCACAGAATTTTTCAATATTGCAACTTGAGGCTTGAAATTTTTCTTCAGTTCTTTCAGCTTGAGAAATGCTGAGTGTGTTCCTCCCTTTTGGTTTTCTAACTTCAGGTCTTTGCACATTTCATCATAATAATTGACTTTATCTCCTCAAGATGCTCTTTGAAATCTTCTGTTCAGCTCTTTTGTCTTGTCATTTCTTCCATTTGCTTTAGCTAATCTCCATTCAAGAGCAAGTTCCAGAGTCTTTTCTGACATCTATTCAGGTCTTTTCTTCCTTTCCTATCTTTTTAATGACCTTTTTTACTTTCTTCATGGATGATGCTCTTGATGTCATTCCACAATTCATCTGGTTTTCAGTCACTGGTGTTCAATGCATCAAATCTATTCTCATCTAATGGTATCTAAATTCAGGAGGGATATAATCAGGGTCATATTTTGGCTGTCATGGACTGTTTTGTCTTCAGGTTCAACTTTAATTTGCATATTAACAGTTGATGGTCTGTTCCACAGTCAGCTCCTGGCCTTGTTTTAGCTGAAGATACTTAGTTTTCTCCATCGTCTCTTTCCATAAATGTAGTTGATCTGATTCCTCTGTATTTCATCTGGAGAGGTCCACATGTATAGCCACCATTTATGTTGCTGAGAAAAGGTATTTGCAGTGAATAGTCGTTGGTCTAGCAAAATTCTATTATGCCATCACCAGTGTCATTTCTATTACCAAGGCCATATTTTCCAACTACCAGTGATTCTTCATTTCCAACTTCTGCATTCCAATCACCAGTAATAATCAATACATCTTGATTGCATGTTTGGTCAATTTCAGGCTGCAGAAGTCGGTAAAAATCTTCAATTTTATCAACTTTGTGTTTAGTGGTTGTTGTGTAAATTTGAATAATAGAATTATAGTAGTATTACCTGGTCTTCCTTATAGCCATATGCATATTGTCCTATCACTGACAACACTGTATTTCAGAATAGATATTGACATATTTTTGTTACAATGAATGCCACACCCATCCCTCTTCAATTTGCCATTCTTGGAACAGTAGATCATATGGTTGTCTGATTCAAAACAGCCAATACCAGTCCATTTCAGGTCACTAATGCCTAGGATATCATTCTTTATGCATTCTGTTTTTTACAACTTCCAATTTTCTTACATTTACACTTCGTACATTCCATGTTCCAATTACTAATGGATGTTTGCAACTGTTTCTTCCCATTTTGAGTCATGCCACATCTCCAAATGGAGGTCTCAAAAGCTTTACTCCACACATGTCGTTAAGGTTGACTCTCCTTTGAGGAAGCAGCTTTTCCCAGTTATATTTTGAGCACCTTTCAACCACAGGGGCTCATTTTCTAGCACTATAACAATGTCTCAGGGCTATTCACAAAGTTTTCCAGTAATAAATCAGAGAGTGTTCACTGCTATTCATACGGTTTTCAACAGCCAATACTATGAGAACTGGATGGCCCCTTCCTTCTTCCAAGTCTATCTTAGTCTGGAAGCTCTGCTGAAACCTGTCCACCATGGGTGACCCTGCTGGTATTAGAAATACCAGAAGCACAGCATCCAGCCTCACAACAACACACTAGCCACCACAGTACAACAAAATGACAGACAAGCGGTAGTCAAATACTTAAGAAACACAAATTTAGAAATTGGCTTTAGTCTTAAGAGATTAATACACATATTGCACACTGATAAATTACTCGGAAAGATTTAAATATGAATCAAAAAGAAAACCAAACTCACTGCCATTGAGTCATATCCGACTCATAGCAACCCGTCCTTGTGTTTCTGAGGCAGTATCACTACAGAAGTATGTTGCCCAACCTTCCTTCCAAGGAGTGGCTAGTGGGTTTGAACCTTCTGGATAGCAGTCAAATGTGTTACGCACTACAGAGCTCCCTTAAATATATATAATAAATGTCTATTTCTAATAATGCAGCATATTAGATATTATAACCACCCCCTCACTATAAACACTTAGAAATGCTAAGTAAAATATAACAAATACCTTTTGAAATGTATAGCTAAGCTAGAAAGAAAATAGTTATGGGCTAGAAATGAAGGAAAAAACAATAATCAATCAAATGACCTGTGCTGCAATGGAAGACAATGGATAAAAAGTAGTACACAATCTTGGGATGTGATTTTTATCACCCACACAAGGAAAAGGCACAACAGAACTTCAACTGAAAAGCTTGAATAAACTTGGAAACTTAGAAGAGCCATAAAATCCATGAAAGAATAAACTAGAAAAAAATTCTTGTTACATTTGAAGTGTGCAATCGTATCCACCTTGATTTGCCTCTGGAGTAGGGAATGAAAATGGCTGCCTGATAATCTGTCAATCAAGAGCCAACCCAAAATCACTCTGATGGCTCAACAGATCTGATTCTCAATTTACAGTACCCTGGCGTATCCAAAATCTTCAATTCAAGAATTTACTGTAAATATAGACTTTAGGCTTTTGACATTTCTGGAGTAGCTGGCATAAGCAACCAAAAAACCACTCTGAAAAAACAAAAAATTGAAATTAAAAAACAAAACCACTATTTCCTTTTCATCAGGACTTTAACCAGAAAATTGTAATGTTCCCCTAAAGGTTTCAGATATAAAAGGATAGACTTTATGCTAAAAAATTATATTTCAAACTACCTATAAAGGCTATAAACTTAAATTTACTTTTCTCCGTGTAACAAATATTGAATCAGTAAGTACTACCTGAATATTGGCATGTAAAGATAACCCTACAGAAAAACAATTTAACAAATTACTTACTTCAGATCCTGCAGAAGGTCTTTTGCATTAAGCATGGTTATTAAAGAGGTGGTAGCTGCTGGAATTATGATAATGGGTGTTCGAGACCCTGTAAAGACAAATTTTTAAAGGTAGCAAATTGCAGTATAGTAAGTTACATAATATGGCTTTTCCAGCCATAGTCTTTGGAAACTCTGGTGGAATTTGCCATGAGCAACTGAGTAGCTCCTGATTGTTAAAGTTATCCACCTGGGGTACTTCTGTTGCAAGTGGCACGAAGCAATCTTCTGGTTAAGTTCTCTCTCTCTTTCTCAGGTGTATAGAATTCTGATGTTGGTATTGGTTAGTTTGGCCACTCTGCCAGGCTCTAAAGGAGCCCTCCTAGTGGCAGAAGGAATTTCTCACTGCTGAGACAAATGCACTTGCTGAGAGAGAGACGTGAAAGACACGCACTGCTAACAGAGAGACGCGAGAGACACGCACTGCTGAGAGACGTGAGAGACATCCACTGCTGAGAGAGGGACATGAGAGACATGCACTGCTGAGAGAGACACTGCCGGTTACGATAGACTGAACACATTTCTGAACTTCAATTGTAGCCTGTTGTTTCCCAAACAAACCCTGTAATCTGTGAGTTCTGTGCAGCCACTGCTGCGAATTATCAAACTCAGCAGAGAGGTGGCAGGTGCTGTGGGAGGAACAGTTGGTGAAAAGGCTGAAGGGAGGCAGCATGTCTGGCCTCACAGGAATAGGCCTGTGGCTACTGATGGTGATTCTGTCTTCCTCTTGGGGTTAGAGGAGGTCAGAAGATGTAACCTCCTTGCCCCTCCCTTTGGCACAAATAAACTATTAAAAGGAATTATAGCTGTTTTCTCTAACAAAAGTTGAAATATTAGAAATGTGTGATTTTAACTCTTCAGTTAAAAAATATTTTAAACCAAGAGTGATATTCAAAATATTAAATAAATATTATGCCTTGTGCACTCACTAAACAGAATGGACACCACGCACAAACATTTGACATGGCTGCATAAGCATAATACCATAACAACTCTGCTTTTGTAATCTAGTTTACCTACATTTACTTTATAATATAAGATTGTATCTATATATACAACCTTACCTTTTTTCTGATTTGGAGGAGGCCTTGCTTGGGAAACTGTAAAAAAAAAATCACAATTCTGAGTATTATAAAAATCATCCTCTTATTTTCAAACTTATAAAGCAAATAGGGCCTAAATATTGTTTCTACTCATGTGTGACTAGTTCTAATATTAACAAAAAAAAAAAAAAAAAAAAAAGAGCAACTGCAATCTTTTCAAATAATGTTATTTCTCTGTCCCAAAAAAAAATATTAAAATTCCTTAGTATTATTCTTATTGTCTGTGGTCACAAGAAAAGTGGATATACTATAGTGCTAGGTACTAAGTCTCTAATGTTCATGAATGTTATGGTCTAGCAAAATAAACAAATAACTGAACTAATAAAAGCAAAAAGCAGTACAGAGTGCTACAAGAAAATATAACACTGAAGGGTAGGAGGTGGGAGATGTTTAACCTCTCTGGAGAAAAGTGAAAGGAAAGTTATTGGGAGCTAAGAGCTATTTAAAAAAAAAAAAAAAACTTTTCCCTCTCTCTTGGTTTTTGTTCCTTTTTTTAATTGCCAAAACAAATGTTATGCTTAGAAGATTTAAAGATGTAATTCAATGTCAATTCTTAGAATACTACCTTTAAAAGGAATTACACAGCACATATACTTACGGAATATGTTCCATTTTAAAAGCAACAAAATACTACATTGCAAGAAATATTTTGTGTATTTTGTACATTTTGTATAGCTATTTCATTGTAATAAAGTACTGCAGAGTTCAGCATACAACTCTTCCAGCCACTTCAAGCAGAATGATATACATAAATACAAACTGACACATAAATATTTAGCATAGTATTCTCATCTTTCTTCTTCATAAGGAAAAATACTAAACTTTCTTACATCATTTTTAGAAATCTGGCAAGGTATTGATTATCCAGATAATGTCATCTGGCATGTAATACATTTTCAACAAATATCTGGTATTTGTTGGAGGAATAAGGAACGGCAAGATGGATATATAACAGGAAACTGGAGTTTCTATGAGAATGCCTATAGGGAATGACAACAAAGAGTAATTTATTTTTTTTTTAAATGCCTATCTGAACTGCCATTGATTTGATTTTCAAACTAAACCAAACCAAACCCATTGCGATCGAGTCGATTCTGACTCATAGTGACCTTTTTAGGACAGAGCACAAAATGTCCCACAGAATTTCCAAGGCTATAAATCTTTACAGAGGCAGACTGCCTTATCTTTCTTCCACAGAACAGCTGGTGTATTCAAATCGCCAACCTTTTGGTTAGCAGCTGAAATCTTTTACCACTACACCAATGAAGCCCCTTGATTTTATGACAGGGACCCATAACTAAGCTCAGAAAATTAGAAAAATATTTATTAAAATCAAGGCTGAGACAATCCAATGTAAGAAAAAGGAAAAAAAAAAAACTATGAAAAATTAATACACATTAAAAAATAAAGTTTACAGAATTAGTAAAAACTCCAAACTCACTTCCATCGACTTGATTCCAACTCACAGCAACCCCTCCTTGGGTTTCCAAGCTGGTATCTCTATGGAAGGAGACTGCCCAGTCTTCCTTCCAAAGAGTAGCTGGTGGGTTTCAACCACCAGCCTTCTGGTTAGCAGTCAAATGCCTTAGGCACTACCACCACCAAACATTTAGGAAACACTAACTAAAAAAACACATAAACAGGTTCCCTGGTAAGTAAGGAAGCTTTGGTGGTACAGTGGATAAGTGCTCAACTGGCTAACCAAATGGATGGCTATTTGAACCCAGAAGCCACTCTGCAGGAGAAAGATATAGCAGTCCACTTTTGTAGAGATTACAGCCTTGGAAACCCTCTGGGCCAGGTCCACTTTGTCCTATAGGGTCGTTATGAGTTGGAATTGACTCAATGGCTATGGGTTTGGTTTCGTTTTATTAAGTAAAGACCAAGAAGAGACACTGTGAGAAACACCTGAAAAAAAGAAAAGGCAAAATAACAAGGCACCTGTGAGGCAGAGTGATTAAGAGTCTGTTAATCTAATTCATATACCAGATTTGTCACTTCTTATTCATGTTACTATGGCAAATTGATTAATTGGTCAAGCCCAAATTCCTCAACTGAAAGAGATGATAATAGTTTCTACACCTTGACATGGTCATATTTTGTTGTTTTTTTAAAAAAAGAAAAAAATCATGTTAAGTCCTTAGCCCAGTGAACCCCAAAGCTACAGCTGCTGCTTTGGCTACCACTACTTAAGCAAATTCATTCTTTCCAATTTATAGGTAAAAACAAATCAGAAAAAAATATATTACTGTTTGTATGTCTGGTTTCAAATGATATTCTCCATTCAAGAAATATTTATTTAGAATCTCCGTGCAAGGCCAGTGACTCATCTGTCAGTTTGTCACACTGTGGTAGCTTGCACGTTGCTATGAAACTAAAAACTACACCACCAGTACCATCAGGGCCACCCATAGTGGACAAGTTTCAGCAGAGCTTCAAGACTAAGTCAGACTAAGAAGAAGGATGGCCACATCCTTCTTCTTAATCTGACTTAGAAGACTAAGAAGTGACTTAGAAGTGGACATAGCCATGTCCACTTCTTAAAGAGAAAAAAATAATAGAAAAGAAAAAAAAAAATAAGAGCCAGTGAAAACTTTAGGGATAGCAGGAAAACATTACCTATATAGTGCCAGAAGATGAGCCCCTCACATTGGAAGGCACTCAAAATACGACTAGGGAAGAGCTGTCACTTCAAAGTAGTGTCATCCGTAATGACACGGATGAAGTAAAGCTTTCTGGACCTTCATTTGCTGATGTGGCATAACTGAAAATGAGAAGAAAAGGCTCCAAACACCATTAATAATCAGAATGTGGAAAGCACGAAGTATGAAATTTATGAAAATTGGGAGTTGTCAAAAATGAAATGGAATGCACAGAGATCCACATCCTAGGCATTAGTGAGATGAAATGGACTGGTACTGGATATTCTGAATCAGAGAATCATATGGTCTATTTTATCAGCAACGACAAATTAAAGAAGAAGGGTGTTGCACTATCATCAAAAAAAAAAAAAAAAATTCAAGATCTATCCTTAAGTACAATACTGTCAGTGACAAGATAATATCCATACACCTACATGAAAGACCAGCTAATATGAGTATTACTGACTGTTAGCAATATCTGTGCCCATTCCAAAGAAAGGTGATCCAACAGAATGCAGAAAATATCAAACAATATCATTAATATCATACACACACAAGTAAAATCTTATCGAAGATAATGCAAAAACCATTACAGCAGTACATTGATAGGGAACTGCCAGAAAATCAAGCTGGATGCCAAAGAGGGCATGGAATAAGGGTTATAACTGCTGGTGTCAGATCTTGGCTGAAAGCAAAGAATAGCAGAAAGGTGTTTACTTTTGTTTTACTGACTATGCAAAGGCATTTGACTGTGGATCTTAACAAAATATGGGTAACATTGCAAAGAATGGGAATTCCAGAACACGTTAACTATGCTCATGAGGAAACTATATAGATCAAGAGGCTGTTGTTCGAACAGAGTAAGGGGGTACTGCAGGGTTTAAGATCAGGAAAGGTGTGCATCAGGACTGTATCCTTTCACCATACATAGTCAATCTCTATACTCAGCAAATAATCCAAGAAGCTGGATTATATGAAGAAGAACATAGCATTAGGATCGGAGAAAAGACTCATTATTAACCTGTAATATGCTGACTATACAACCTTGCTTGCTAAAAATAAAGAAGATTTGAAGCACTTACTGATGAAGATCAAAGAATACAACCTGCAGTATGGATCACACCTCAAAATAAAGAAAACAAAAATCTTCACAACTACACCAATAAGCAGCATCTCAATAAATGGAGAAAAGATTGAAGTTGTCAAAGATTTCATTTTACTTGGATCCACAATCAATGTCAATGGAAGCAGAAGTCAAGAAACCAATGTACTGCATTGGACAAATACACTGCAAAAGACCTCTTTACAGTGTTAAAAAACAAAGATGTCACTTAGAAGACTAAGCTAACCTTAACCCAAGCCATGGTATTTTCAATAGCTTCATATGCATGTGAGAGCTGGCCAATGAATAAGGAAGATTGCAGAAGAACTGATGTTGCTGAATTGTGGTGGTGATGATGAATATTGAAGGTACCATCATGGACTGCCAGAAAAATAAACTAATCTGTCTTGGAGGAAGTACATCCGGAATATTTTTGTAGAAGACAGAATAGTCAGGCTTTGTCTCTCATACTTTGGTCATGCTGTTAGAAAGGACCAATCCATGCAGAAGGATACCATGTGCTTGGTAAAGTGTAGGGTCAGCAAAAAAGAGGAAGACCCTCAGTGAGGTAGAATGATATAGAGGTTGCAATGACAGGCTCAACCATGGAAAATATTGTGAGGATGGTGCAGTACCAGGTAGCGTTTCATTCTGCTGTACACAGGGTAGCTATGTTTCGGGACCACCTCAATGGCACTTAAGAACAACATGTGCAAGGCATTCTGCTAACTGTTTATTAAAACTAAAAAGAAAGAAAGAAAGAATCTTGCACTCAAAGAGCTTTTAGTAAATGCAAAATTAGCAAATAAGTAAATATTTAAATATACTAATTTTCAACATCTTTGATACTGACAGAAGAATGTTTTTTAGATAAGATTCTTAAGAAAAACCTCTCAAATGAAGTGGCATTTTAATTGAGATTTGAAGGGTGAAAAGAAGTCAAATTCTAAACGTAAGTACACAAAGACTCTAGATGGAGTTGGGAATGTGGGCAAATGTCTAATGCAGGAAAGAATCACCTGTGTTTACAGAACTGAAACTAGGCAAATGTGTACACCACAGAGCAGAAAGAGAAGAATGACAGGAGGTAAGAGTAAAAAATATAAGCAGGAACCAATTCACATAGGGTCCTCTGAACTACATTAAGTTTGTATTTAGGTGGCACTGTAAAGCCCTGAAAGGTTCAAGCTAGAAAGTGGTATAATTCAATTTTCATATCACACTAAAATAAAAAATAAAAATAAAGAGAGAGAGAAAGCAAAACAAAAAACACCTGAACTGCATATAGTGCTAGTGTCTACGTGCAATGGCAAGATTAATCTTTTTAGGTATGGGGGTGGAGGGGATTAAAAAATAACTTCAATACTATTATTACTAAAAACATATTTTAAAAAATGATTACAAAGTATTAAGGGTCAATACCAGAATCTGAAATTAAAGCTGCTTATCAATTTACAAAAATTATGATGCTGTGCTTCTATAGAAAAAACTTACATCCACATGTACTAACGCAGAACTAGAAGAGGTAAGTGATGAGGGGACACACACAGACTTCTAAAACAATTTTATAAAATCTCAAACATAATAAAAATATGTTCTTAAAAATGTTCTTTAATTCTTCACCTATATCTATTTATGCAAGGAAATGTTCTTACGGTATTACTTTAAAAGTCATTATTCAAAAGCACAGTGGTATATAACCTATTTTACCAACAACGTTTGAATCAAATTGGGGAAAATATTATTAAAGAATAAGGAACTACCTAAATCCAGTTGAGCTTTTAAAACATACTATGGAAGATAACACATTTTCATCTTAACTGCTTTATCTTTTTCTGATAAAGAATGTAAGGATTTATTGATGATGTTAACCAAGATGAAGCAAGCATTTTATGTATATTACCAAAGTTTTGGTATCTGCTTAAACAATGACAGTCAATTTGAAGAAGAATGATCTTTTCAAGTATTTTAAATAAAATCTCACTTTCTTCAAAGCATTAAACATATCAAAAACAACTTCTGCTGTTGTTCTCATTTGGAAAAAGCAAAATCAAAGTTTTATATTTTTACCTGGTCTTGGTACTGGCTGTGCTGCAGGAGTCTGAGTCTTGCGAGCAGATGCACCCTCCTTTAAAAGAATAAAAGTTGATAATATCAAAGTTCCTTTATATAACAGTTAAACAGTTTAATCACTTGTGAAAAAAATCCTTCTTACTCTGTCAACACTCAGTCATTCCATGGATCCTACTCTGACAATGAATTTTTAAATTTTTTGAAAATTCTCCTAATCTTTTATGCTTATTAGTCATGAGGTGGTAAATAGAGATCTTTTGTGAAAAATAAATTTAAATTGTTACCACAGAGTAGTTAGTTACTGGAAGCATGTAATACTTTTTAAGTATTTAACCATTTGCTTAATTGCTGATAATTTTAATATTTAACTTACCTGTCTTAAAATCAAGTCAATGTCTTTTCCTCTGTCTCAAAATGAATCAATGATACACATATTCATGTTAGAGTGATATAAACAATTTATTTGTGTACACAAATAAAAAAAATTGTTATAAAATATTCAAGAAAATATCACATTTATAAAGATTAAGATTTGTTAAATTTAAGACAAATGGGCCTATCTTAAAAACTAGGTAACAATGCTCAATTAATTACTGAGTGTATAATATATACAAGGAAAAGTTTCTAGGTAGTGAAGTACATCAGTTTTAGACTCATGAGTACATGCTTCTGAAATGCCTAAGATACTTTACAAGTCTTAAATGCAACAGTGTCAATAATATTCACACTAACTTTTCATATAACATTTTCCTTTATAGAAAGATTCAAATGTAAATTCTTAACTATTATTAGTTCATGGAGATTTTATTCTAGCAGTAGGTGATAGAAGGAAATCTACAAATATCAGTGAAATACATAAATCCACAACTTTTTAAATGAATGACTACAATAAGTGGTACAAACAAAGAAAAATGTATTGTACTTCCATACAGTGGTAATCTTAGCATTCAGACAGAATGCCAGGAAAATCATTCTTTATTGGAAGAAATAATAACAGCAGCAGCAGCAGCAGCAACAACAACTAACAAAACCTTTGCGAAGTAAAAAAGAAACCTTATGAGGACAGCAGAATATCCTTTTCCAGTATTTTCACCAGTATGTAATTAGTTGTATATTGGTACATTCAAAAATTCAGTCACTCCAAGTGCCGGTGTCATGAGTGTGTTCAGAATGTGAAAACTTACCATTGTTACTATGAAACAGACATTTTTTCTCCCAAGTCTATTACAAATTAAATTTAAAAGAAGGTAGGTTACTATCAACATGGAAAGTATATTACATATTCAGCATCCTTATACTATTCTGAAATTTTCTGATACGTTCATGTCACAGGACTTTTTTTTTTTTTTTTAATTGTGGTTTGGTGGAAATCTACAAAGCAGATTCACTTTACTCTCAAAAGTTCAAACACATTTGGTTTCACAACCCCAATTACAATCTCAACAATAAAAAGCTCTCCTCCCATCTACTACCCCTTACTTGTACCCTTCTTGCCTATGCATTCCTGTCTGTCCAAATTTCCCTCTATGCAAATGCTACCTTTCTGATGTCTCAGGGTTGACTGATCCAAAGGGTGCATCAGGACATAATTGTTTTTATTCTTCTTTGTAATGCCATTGCTTAGAACACAGCATACACTCAATAAATGTCTGTTGAAATGCGGGAAGATGGCATCATACTGGCAGTTCAAACGCTTAGTTCTTCAATCAACAGAAAAGTTGAGAAACTAGGTAAAGCAGATGCAAATGATGACACAAGAGTTATGAGCAGCTGATGATAAGATAAAGTATTAGATCCAGTGAAGACAGTGAAAGGGAACAGGTTAAGGGACTATGAAAAATAAAGAAACCCACCTAGCCAACAGAGGCAAGACAAGAGTCATTAGAAATACCAAAGAGGTCAAAAAAAATAACACAAACATCACATCACATTATATCACAGAACCCACAGATGTTAAAAGACTCAGAATAGGTACACTTAAGAGTTTTTCAAGGTGAGCTGGAGTTTGAGTGGACCATACTGGAAAAGGAACAGGGCAACCACAGCTTAAACTACCACAGACTCTAGAAGAGAGTGGGGGAAAGGGAGGAGCAGTGCCTACAGCATTTGACAGCTAGCCAGAAGGATGGTGGTTCAAACCCACCAGCCACTCCTCAGAAGGAAGATTGGGCAATCTACTTCTGTAGAGATACTGCCTCAGAAACCCAAGGAGGGGTCGCTATGAGTTGAATCAACTCAATGGCTGTGAGTCTGGTTTTTTAAAGTGGATACAATAGCAGTGGGCTTGGGTCCAGCTCTTAACAAACCTTTTTAGCACAGAGTGGATTTGGAACCTGGGATTTCACAACTTGTAGATCTGTGTGCAAGAGGATGCCCCCTTTGTCCTCAGGGGTGACTATCGGGTATGAACTGAAGGGCTGTGACTGACAGCTGGGCGACATCATTGGCAGATGACCCCAGATGCAGCCAGGGGCCGAGGTGCCTGTCCTTCCTGTGAATGAATCACTGACTGAATTATCTCATGCTAAGCACAGAAAACAACCTCTCTGCCTTTCTATCCTGGGGTCCACTTCTGGCCCTTTTTTCCTTTTCTTTCCTCCCCTGACTTGTCCAATATGAGGAACATATTAACCCTCCACTAGTCAACCACAGCTACTACACTGAAAGCCTCACTCAACAGACAGATAACACCAACAGCTCTGGCACCACAAGATCAGCGACAGATGGTGGACAACACCTGCTCATCCCAACTCCAAATCCTCTTCACAGAGACCTGTACCACATCCCCACCAGTGATACCACCAATACAGAGAAAGCTGAGAGCAACTCAGTACAGTCAAGTTAATAACCAAAGAAGTACATGTGCTCCACAATTCCACATATAGTAAAACATAAATCAGGGTTAAACAAATCAGTACATAACTAAGAAATGAAGACAACAACTTCAAAACATCTACAAAAGACAGCTTCAAAAAAAAAAAAAAAAAACAGGACAAGACAGTAGAAACAAGTGCCCAAGCTAAAGAACTAGGAAGAACAAGCAATAAAATTGAGTGGTTAGGAATTCAGAAGGTATTTTACACATACATACATACATACACACACACATACACAACACTCAACAAAATCATAAACAGAAGTAATGAGCAGTCAGACAGTACTCTGAAAGAATTCAGGAAAACTATTCAAGAACAAAATAATAAGATATATACACAGTCACAATTAGAACTCATACAAAACAGCAATTAGAAATCCAGAGGATGAACAATAAAATTAAGGAGACAGATAATACAGTGGAAGGACAAAAGAGTATACCAGAACCGGCTGAAGAACACATTTCCCAGCTAGAATACAAATCTCTATTTAATAGAAAGGAAGTGAACCTAACACTTATATGGGATGACAGGAAAAGAAACAACATATTCCTGATTGGAATACCAGAACAAGTGGAAGGAAAACAAACATTGAGAAAATTGTTAGAGACTTACTAACAGAAAATTTCCCTCATACCATGAAAGAAGACAACCTCATCTAAGAAGTTCAATGAACCCCATACAGGGCAGGCTGCAAGAGATAATAACCAAGACACGTCATAATCAAACTTTCCAAAACCCAAAGACAAAGAAAAAATCTTGGGAGCAGCTCAGGAAAAATGAAACGTCATCTACAAAGAACAACCAATAAGACTAAGCTTTAACTTCTCAGTAAAAATCATGCAGACAAGAAGACAATAGTATGGCATACATAAAACCTGGAAAGAAAATAACTGCCAAACAAAAATTACATGCCCAGCCAGACTTTCCTTCAAACATGAGGGTGAAATCAAGACATTCCCAGACAAGGAGAATTAAGGGAATTTGTGAAAACCGGAAAACCACCACAAGAAATGCTAAAAGGAGTTCTTCCAAAAAGAACCCACAATAAAAAATAAAAAATTAAAATCAAGACATTTGACACCCCCACTTAGAAATTAAACCAGAAAAATTCACAAAGTTCACCAAAAAAAAAATCTATATAGAGAAATAGTTGAGTTAATCTTCGGATGACACCATCAACAAAGCAAATAGAGGGAATAAAAGTTTTAATTACAAAACTTCCAAATGGAGAGGAAGACAAGACAATGTCTTTACAGAAAAGACTGTTCCAACTTAGGAGATAATAATTTACTTCAGGGTAACCACAAAGGAAATTAACAATTCTTCTAACCAAACAAATAAAGAACAAAATCACAAGGGTTTAGTAAGCACAAAATAAACAATATTTAACAAAACAGAAAAAACACTTGATAACGAAATGAACTCAGCACAGAAAAATATCTGGAACAAAGAAATCATCAACACAACAAAAAACACAATAGAATGACAGCATTAATTCATACCTATCACTAATTACACTCAATGTGAATGGACTAAACGCACCAGTCAAGAGAAATAGAGCAGTAGACTAGGTAAGACGACCCATCGATATGCTGACTACAAGAGACCCATGTTAGACACAAAGATAAAAATAACTTAAAAATTCAAGGGGTGGAGAAAAATACATCAAGCTAATGGCAACCAAAAAAGAGGAAGAGTGGCAGTATTAATTTCCAATAGAATAGATTTCAAGAAGAAAACCAGCTTAAGGGACACAGAAGGATAGCATATGATGTTAAAATGGTCAATTGATCAAGAGGACATTACCATGATAAATATCTAGGAATCCAATAAGAGAACTCCAAGATGCACAAAGTGTTAACTGAATTGAAAGGAAAAATAGACAACTCTATACAATACTAGTCAGATACTTTAACACACCACTTTCAAGGAAGGAAAGAACAACAAGAAAAAAAATTCAACAAAGATATATCACAACTCAGCAACACAATCAACCAACTTGACCTCATAGACATATATAGAGCACTCCACCCAACAAAACCACAATACACATTCTTCTCCAGTGCATATGGATCATTCTCCAGAATAGACCATATGTTAGGCCACAAAACAAGCCTCAATAAACTCAAAAACACTGAAGTACTACAAAGCATATTCTCAGATCACAATGCTATAAAGT